GGAAACCATTCTATAGGTGGAATATGCCCCTCCTTTGTTTTCTTTTATTTTCCTTCCACTGGAAAGAATTTTAACCATTTGACTGTTCATTAACATTTCCAAAATAAGCAAGGGAAAAAGCTTATCTCAAAGGCTGCCATCTTAGAATAAAATACCTGTTAGACTAGCCTGTGCATTTTGCTCTTCCCCTCAGACTCTGCCTCCACCACCAGGAACTGATGTATTTTGGTGTCATTTGAATCCCCGCCCCTCTGCCTGTGTGACTTAGAGCAAGTCACATAACGTCTTTTCATGTCTCTGTTTCCTCAGCTGTAAAATGCATGTTATGGCGAGACTTACATCAGGGGGGTGTTAAGAACAGTATTTTTCAAATTTTATGACCATTATCCATAAGATTATACATTTTAGATCAAAGCCCAGAACACACATGCAAATAAGTACACACACACATATATACACATATGCATACATGAGTGCATATATATGCCTGTATCTGAAATATAAATTTCTAAAATAGGGGTTTATCCATATTAGATGTGATGCATTTGTATAGTTTTTATTCTATTTTGGTTTGTTTCATATTTTTTTAAAATTATTTTTACGGCACACTAAATTGATTCTGTCACTAATGGATCACAACCCAAATCGGTCCCAACGCCCGTTTTTGTAAGGAAAACTTTATTGGAACACAGCCGTGCTCATCTATTTACATATATTCTATGACTGCTTTCTTGATACAATGGCAAAGTTGAGAAGTTGCTGCAGAGATCTTTGTCTGCAAAGCTAAAATATTTACTCTCTGTCCCTTTAAGAAAAGGCTTGCCAATCCCTGGTTTAGAGGGTGAAATGTATTCCATCCGAGGTGGTAGGGTGAATACAATGCCTGGCGTATCTGAAGGATTCAATAAATATCTTTGTTATTATTATTGTAGGTAATGCTTTTGCTACTACTACTAACTACAACCAAAGCTAACTAGCCGTGGAAGTTTTCTCATCAAATAAATAGGATAAACAAGTTTAGCTTTAAAAAAAAGTGAGAAGGGATTTAAACAACAAACAAGGAACAAAAACTCTGTAATCTAAGCACCAATTTTCATGGTGAGAGTTATTCAATCTTTTTTATCTCAAGCTCTAGGCACATATATCAGCACAGTCTCTTTTCTAGGTTGGCATTAGAAGCCTCCTTTCTGCCAGACAAACCAGCAGACAGAGAGAGGTTAGACCACATTTAAGCTTTTAAACCCCTCAGATCCCTCCACTGAAGGTGCCCTGCTCTGCTTCCTGTAGTCATTAGAGAATGAATCTCTGATAAGCAAAGTAAATTAGATGCAGTGACATTCTGCTAAATGAGTCATTTCCTCTGCTTGGCTGGGCTGGGCTGTTAATTACCAGCTAATCTTATCAATATGGGGGCTGACTGGCAGATAGTGGCTCATGGAGAGAAGGGTAAGGACCCCAGTTTGTCCCCAGTGTCTCTCATTGGGTGAAGTGCATATCAAACCTGCCAGTCCCACCTGAAACCATCTGAATGCTGAGGCAATATGGTTTAGAAGGGGGACAAGACTGTCGTTCAAGAATTAAGCAGGGAAAGCACAGGGAAATGGCGAGCCTCCAACAAAATGTTAAGGTGAAGAAAGAAAGGGCCAAGATTGCGGATCATGCATTATTAAAGCTGCATTCTCTCCTCTCTCTATCTCGATCAAATTTTATTTCAGTGAGGCACAGGGGCTTAAAGAGAGATAAAAGACTTAAAAATATAAATTAAGTCCTATTTATTTTACCACCCTGAGCCAAATGTGCTGGGTTCTGTCTGAATATGTTGCCCAGAAAGGCTGAGTGGGTTGGCTTTCAGCGGGATGAATGTCTATGATTTGCTGACATCTGGCAGAAAGGGTCCTGCAGCCAATCAAATCAAAGGCCCCCTGGAAACTATTAGGTTCTTTCTGAGGATCTCTGCCCC